GGCTCTTTCGCTTTCTTTCCTTTTTTTTTTTTTTTTTTTTTTTTTTTCTTCTTCTTCTTACTTTTATTTTTTTTTATACTTTAGGGGGGAGGTTGTTTATAAATCTGTGCTTCGCAAACGGCTGAATGCCGATAGCCCCGTTGCTCGGCTCGCTCGGATGCCGCACGCACATGCATCGGGATAGGGAAGGGGGGGGGACGGGAAGGAGAACGGGAAGGAATAGTCCTCACTGCCCCCCCCCCCCTTTCCTCTCAATCCTTCAGAAAAAAAAAAAAAAAAAAAAGAAAAAAAAAAAGCCCTTTTCGAGCATCTTCCCATCGGGAGGGCTGTCGCTCGCTCGAGGTAAGTCGCTTTAAAGCTTTGTCACCTTCTTGCGCGTTTAAATCCACGCTCCTGATGGGGGATATTAGGGTGGTGGTAGGGGAGTTGGGGGACAAGGTGGCAGCAATCCGGGCTTTGGCTGCTGTGGGGTGCGAGCGGGGCAACGTGCGGCTGCCCCACAATCTGGGCTCGGGGAAAGGAAGAGAGAAAGGAATGGGAAAATAAAAAGAAATTACCCCTCTTCCATTCCCCCCCTGCCTCCCCCAGTCCCTCCAGTCAATGCAGGCCGCTATGGGTCTGCCCTGCAACTACAGAGAGCATCCCACTCTTTCAGGTTCGCTTTTAAAGGATACATATATTTTTAATAATCATTATTCTCGTTATTTAAAAAGATAATTGAAGCCTTCTTAAAAAGTGGGACAGCGGATACTGATCTGGTTTCCGAACTCCCTCCGAGTTATTGGCGAGCAGTTGTGAGCAGCCTGCAGGGCGCCTGTCCCAGCTGCATGCACCGGCGGGGATTTCTCACGGGGGGCTTCTTTTTCTTCTTAATTTTTTTCTCTTTTTTTGCCCCCCTTCTTGCTTTTTTAAACCCTCCCTTCCTTCTCCCCATCGTTTTTCTCCCACTCCGCAAAAGAAAAAAAGAAAAGAAATAAATCCCCGTGAGAAAGGGGAGGTGGAGGGGAACTTTTGGGGATGGGAGAACCCCCAGAGCAGGGTGGGCACGGAGGCAAACCTTAACCCCAAAATGACACTGTTAGGAAGTCACTCCTTTCCCGTCTGCTCGCAGATTTCGGGCGGACAGTGCAGATAAACCCGCCGCTTAGCGATGCTTTCTATTTATCTCCCCCCCCATACACACACACCGAGACAAGAAATAGGTATTTTTCAGCGCTCTGAGACCGAATTCCTCCATTCTCCCCCCACAATTAAAAAAAAAACCATCCGGGATGGAGATCTGGAAGCAGCACAAAGAAACGGTGCAAAACCCACCTTCAGAACCAACCCCCCCCGCACCCCCCAACATGGGTAAATGCATCTGGGCGCTGAAATCAAAGCGTTCCACTCCCGAGAGAATCTCTTAAAGGACCCTTTTCCCACTTCGGAATGTAGGTTATTTTGGGGGGGGGGGGGAAAGGGGGG